TAATTCGTTCTTTGTAACTTATTGTGAAGCAATCGTGTTTGTTTTTGAAAGATGTAAGCTGGAAGAAAGCTGTGGTTTTGTAAAATATGAATCTCATTTACTGTTTACTCAAAATAATGACTTATACTGTATATTTTAACAAAACCACACTAATTATAAGCACTTAGTAACATGTCACATTATCTCCTACTGAAGTACAAGATGCCTTTCTTAAGAAATGCAATACGATCAAACGTGGCTGTTTCTTGTGGCTTAAAACAAAATCTAGATTTGACTCCAAAAGAGCGTGCATTCCCACTGCTGCATTCTCAGCTTTTAGTTACCTGTAGACCATTTGGCTTAGTTAGGCTGAGCATCCAGATTTGCTTCTTCCATCTATCATCAGTGCTAACTTTGTGGGAATGCAAAGTAGATGATGGCCTATCCTAAAATTTGGGACAAGCAACTAGGCCACACTAGAAACATTCATCATTCACCAGCAATACTGACTTCTTTTTAAAATTGTCAGAAGGATATTAGTATATTACTGAGAAATCAGGAAGTGAACAGGAAGGGATGCAAAAAGTATTCCAGCTTGACAGGAGAGGGAGGGACTAAAGCTGTCAATCAAGTATTAGAATCTTTTTTACTGTATATAGTTGCCAATGCTTGCATTATACCCATTAGTCCCCAATAGCATAGACATATGTTTTATCCAAAGCTATGATGTATGTATTCCTTAGAAATTATTGCATTTAACCATTATAATATAGTGCATAGGGAGGGGGGAAATGTGGGTAGTTAGGGCCTGGCGGCCGGAAGATATCGCGCTGTACGGAAAGCATAGGGCCCCTCTCCTAATAGCCAATGGCGTTTGATTTACGACGTAAGCAGGCGGATGTGACGTTGTAAACTCAGGCTATAAAATGCCGTGTCACCTATCAATAAACGCCACTTGCCGTCCACCACATTGGTGTCTGTGAGCTGATGGCCCACGCAGACCCAAAGGTGGGGTCGCTGAGCCGTTCCTGAACCAGGTCGCTATGCCTCTGAAGGCAACAAAAGCCAGTGCCTTTCTGTAGCTAAGTGGGCTGTCAGTAGTGTCTTTCAACAGTACTGTGGGTTTTTTTTTTTGCATAAACCTTACTTTGCAGGTAACTCTGCTGCCACATGGGATGTTCCCTCTTTATACGTGTGTCACCCTGTGGGGAGGTTATAACTTCGTCTATTTTGATGTGTATTCCATGGGACCTACCAACACTTCTGATTATGGAAAAAAAAAAAAGAAAACCACTGAAAGTACACATAGAAGGATAACATTCTTACCCTTTAACTATCTGGGAAGTCTGACAAAATAAATTTACAGAATCCAAAGAATGTAACTGTATTTATGTATTTAGGAAATACCAATAATTGAAGGTGTAACATTCATTAATCAACTAATATGTACCATCGGTTTACTAACACCAAAAGGTAAGTAAACTCAATTGTTCTGATAGAAGTATTCCTTCATTAAATATATTCAATATTGGCAGAAACAAGTATCAAATTGTTTTCACTGGGGAGCTTTTTTCCAACCTGTATCTTCAGAATTGTCCTGAATATGGTCATCCGTTTCTGGAATTCTTAGAGTCAAGTCAGGCTGAGACCCAGTGTGCAGGCCCGAGAGCAGAACTTTTGCTGTGATATTTTGAAACAAAAGGAAATTATAATATTTGTTAGTTTAAAAACAGAACAAAACAGAACACGTTTTAAGCTGCCTTCTTAGTTAAAAAAAACACTAGTGTATAAAAACGTAGCATCTTGGACATTTCTTAACATGTCTTTTAATTAGTTTCCATCAGCAGGAGCTTCCAGCCTCCCCCTCCTCCTCCTGCCATTTACTATGACATTTTTAATGTGACACAAGCTGCTGGAAGTTTTACTGGGTTTTTCTGACAGATTCTGAGCACTTGCTGAGGGTGCAGGCTGGGTAACTAAGCAAGGATGTTAAGTATGTCATTTAAACCTTCCGGTGCCAGTGGTAACCTTTCTGCTGACTGTGACTGTGTACATGAGTGAAAAAAAGAAGAAATTATGGAAAAGTAAAAATCCTCAAGATTGATCAGATACTTCCATACAAACAACTGCGTGTAGATTATATTTATTTATTTTATTTATTTTTTCCACACTTGGTCTTTCCAAATTATAATTTCCAGGTGTTTTACCTTCACAGATAGACCATAGGATTACATCGGCCCTACCTGAAATAGAGTTTAGTCTTCAGAAACTCAATACATTCTTGCAAATATAAAAGTGACATTTCAACGAAAATGGTAATTGTGGGCTATCACTAAAACAGACCTAAATCACATAAGCTGTGGGACTTAGCACCTTTCTGTTCAGTTTGAACTTCATTCTGCAAAACCAGCCACCTTTATGGGAGTTCTGTCCACAGGCTAGTAAGAAGCATTACCACTCAAAACGTTCTCTAAATTCATGAATCTATTATTGATAATGAATGAAATACTGAGAAAGAAAATAATCAAAATACTTCTAGTACTTTATAATTATTTTCCTCAAAATGGTATTTTTAAATGGTCTGTATTAAACTGGATAACCATCATAAACTGCACGCTAAGCAGGGCATGAATGCTCTATTGGTCAATAAGAGTTATGTTGCCAAAAACTGAAAATATTTCCTATTGGAAGTTGTGCATGACAAAACTGTGTATCTATTTTTTAAAAATAGCAGCATGAAATTATGATAAATATCTTACTGGCTGTTCTTAAGAATGAAACTATTTATATCCAGGAAGGAAGGGATCAGATATGGCATCGTCACAAACACAGGGAGTTCCTGATTGTATGGCTCCGATAGAGCTGCCTCGAGCAAGGAGCAGGTCTGACAGGAGCATATGGGCTCCATGTGGCTGTCTCAAAGCACAGTGGTTTCTTGGGCTCTGCATGCATTCCTGGGGACTAAGTCTGGGATAGTTCCTCAAAGTCTGCTTGCAGAGGGGTAACCTCATTCTCCTCATGAAACAGTAAGGGGAAAATTCTGTGGCAGAAATTTTGTGGGAGAAATCCCTCACTGATTTAATTTTCCTTAGTTTCTGTAAGTGGGTTTTGTTACTGGAGGGCACATTCTGGTATCTGGTACCTTGTATATTTCTGTGAAAAATCAGCATCCCAAACTGCTGTTGAGATCACTGCCACAAAGCTAAAATCTAGCCCTTTCACTGGCATGTGTTTCAGGGAAAACTACTACATGTCTAACCATTTCAACCCTGATGAAGGCAGACATCTTTCAAATAAGAAAACTTCACATATATACAGATCAGTGGGAGTCCCGGATAAATGCTAGTCCTAGTCAACGCTTTCATCTTCAGCTTTATGCTGCTTATAGTATTAATAATATAATTACAGGAGAGACATGTGGCAAAACCCACTATTAAGGTTGCCTGCCAGTTCGCATAGGGAGGGAAGCCAGCTGCTGAGCCCTGTTGGGATTGTCCACCCCAGGGACTAGAGCCGTATTGAGCCTGGCCAAGCTGAGGAGGCCTGGCCATTTCTCCCCATGACTGGACATCCGAAGTAGTGGCGTGTACTTGACTGCTGAATTCCTAGATGGCATTTTTTTTTCATTCTGCCTTGATCTTGCTCCAGCTCCTTTTTGTTACGTAAACAAAATGTGAGTAAATTCAGGGTTTTCATCCTCCAGGCTAAGCAGTGGCATTATGGTAGGGATACAAGGTGAGATGACTTTTTGGGGTTTTTTTTTACTGTTTAAAGGGTGTTGAGGTAAATGTGACTTCCATTTCACCAAGTTATAAAAAAACATACTTTTTTTTCTTTCTAGACTGTACCTCTAACAAATAGTTGTAGACGAACAGGCATAGACAAATAGTAGACTACATTTACGTGAGCTGGTGTTGCTGCTGCTGCTCTGAG